GGGGGCCGCCATGGCCTGGCCCTGCATCACCCGCGCTTGCTGCATCGCCCGTTTCTGGAACCAGCTGGATAAAGCCGACATCGCCGTCCCTTTGGTTTTCACCAAATATTCCGAGGCCACCGAGCATCCCGCCGCCCCCGCGCCTTCTTTTCCTCGTCCCGCCGCCCCCATCGAGACCCAACCCGCCGGTGATGGTGCGGGAGATGCGGTTCCTGGTCCGACCCGACCCGGTCCGGTCCCTCACCCATCTCCTCCCGCCGATTCGGTGATGCGACACGATTACAAACCTTGGAAGGTGCAGCGCCCGGAGCCCAGCTGCAAACCCAAAAGCGAGTACCAACCCTCGGATACACCCTTCGAGAAGGAGACCCAGTACCAGAAGGATTTCCGTGCCTGGCCCATCCCAAAAAGAGGGGACCATCCTTGGATCCCCAAACCGGGACCTTCTCCCGTCCTCGCCTTGGACCGCGGCTCTCCGGAGAAACCGGCTCAGGAGAAGAGAAGGAAGGTTCTTCTCCCACCCGAAAAGAAAGAGGAAGACCCCGAAGGGGAGGATGAGCATCCCAAAGGGGTGCGGGCCGGGGATGGGAGAGAGAAGGGTCGGAAGAAGGCGGAGGAGGCTGGGGGGCAGCAGCCGGAGGCGGGCAGGGGCAGGGCGGCCGCCGATGCTCTCAACAGGCAGATCAAGGAGGAGGTGGCGGCGGGGGTCAGCTCGTCCTACAGGTGAGACCCCCCTCCCCCTACTCAATACACCCCCCCATCTCCTCCCCAGTCCGTCTCCGGTCCCCTCTTGGCCATCCCTGGTGGGGACATCCTACCCTGGGAGGTGGGTGAACCAGGATTTTAGGGGGGTGGTGACCTCCTACTGGGGGGGAGGGGGTGTCTGTCCTTAAAATTCCCCACTTCTCTGGGTGTCCTGCATCGATTCCCCCCTTTTCTGGGTGTTGTTGATGGGATGCGGGTGGGTGCTGTGCGGGTAGTGAATCCACGGGGGTCCTTTTTGCTGGGTGGGTTTGGAGCAGGTTGAGGTGTCCGTTCCCTCCCCCCTCCTCTTCCCCATCGCTGCATCCCAAAATTCAGAAACACCCAGTTTTATGCAGGGGGGAGGTTTGGGTGCTCCCCCAGGGTGTGCAAGTGACCTCTGGTCCTTTCCAAACACAGCCCCAAAATCCCACCCGCCGTGCCACAAACCCCAAGGAGAGGCATCCCCACCGCATCGCCGCATCCCGAGGGGCCCACGGGTGGATGGGGGGGGGGTCCACGCACCCGTGGGGTACCCCACGCACGGGAGGATGCTGGGTGGCATCCCAGACCAGCAGCATCCCCAAGACAAAGCGTCCTAGGCCCGCTTGGGTGGGGCAGCCTTGGGATGCTGCCATGTTTAACGCGGCGCGCCGAGGTGTGTGTGCGTGTGGAGGGGGGTTTAGGGGGGGTGATCCCTCCCTCCATCCTCCCTGGGGCTAAAAAAAAAAAAGAGGTGCCCTGATTTCACCCCGTTTGGGATGTGGAGAGCGGGAAAACTCCTCCCCGGCGGGAGAGAGGCCGTTGTTGTTCCTCTCCGGGTGGGAAGGGGGTTGGATGCGCCGGGAATGCGAAACCCAAGGGATGGGGTGACTGCCCTGCGCGTACGTTCGCAAGGAGGGTTTGCTGAGATTGTGTTTTTCCAGAGCTTTCCTTGGCAGAGCCCGCTGCCGCCGAGGCCAGGGTGAGGGTAGGAAAGAGCAGAGCCGGGGGTTGTTGTCACCAAAGTGTAGCTGCAGCCTTTTTGCTTCTCCCCCGTCCCCTCTGTGAAGGTGTTTGTGCCTTTGAATGGTTGATTTTTTTTCTTCCTTGGGGAGGCTGAGGGGAGACCTTCTTGCTCTCTACAACTCCCTGAAAGGAGGGTGTAGAGAGGTGGGGGTCGGTCTCTTCTCTCAAGTCACAGGCGACAGGACGAGAGGAAATGGCCTCAAGTTGTGCCAGGGGAGGTTCAGGCTGGATATTAGGAAAAATTCTTTCACTGAAAGGGTTCTCAGGCATTGGAATGGGCTGCCCAGGGAGGTGGTTGAGGCACCATCCCTGGAGGTGTTCAAAAGACGGGTTGATGTAGTGCTGGGAGGTATGGTTTAGTGATGATGCTCCTTGTTTGTTGTGTGGGTGTCTATTTTTGTCAGTTAGGCTGATGGTTGGACAAGATGATCTTTAAGGTCCCTTCCAACCTAGAAGATTCTGTGATTCTGGGAGATTTAGAGGTGACACCCTGCCACCAGACAGGTAGTAAATTCAGGCAGGTTTCAAACGAAGCTGGGTTTTGACTCCCGTGTCCCACCGGTGACTGCGTGGAGGGGCAGAGCTGACAGTCACCTCCTTTCCCCACGGGTGGGAAAACGTTCGAGCAGGGAGATTTCGCTTTTTGCTGTAGTTTTGGGTCGGTTCTGGCTCTTCCCAGGGATGCGAGTGATGCTGTGGGCTCAGGTGCATCCAGGGGGGACGGGGGCGGTCGCCTGAGACGTGAGAAAATGGCCGGGGATTTTTGGAGGGTGTAAGGGAAGGGTTTTCCAGAAGTGCCCACTGTCCTTTAATCCCTTTTGGCCGGCTGTGATTGTTTTTGACTCAGCTTTTCGTCTGGTCAGCTTCCAAGGTCTGGTGATGGCAGGGCTAAAGCAGAAAGCCATCCTAGGGCTGGAGAGCTGTCATGTTGCTGTCTGCCGCTGTTGCAAAGGATAATTATCCTTATTTACTTGCATATTTAAATGCAGATTGCTCACCCTCCCCTCCTTCCACGTACCTTCCCTCCTGCCTGCTCCAGCAGATTCGTACGGCTGCCGTTGCTGCTCTGTTTCCTCCCCGAGCAAAGGGGTTGGGTCAGCTCAGATGTTAAACCCAAGAGGAACCTGAAGGAACCATGTTGCTCCCTCATCTTTCAGGGCACCCTTAGGGCTTCTCTTTCCCCTTGGATCCTCATCTGCTCTCCCATTTCCGTGTTTTTGTTTCTTCCTTGCAGCCTATTGCAAGAGAAGTGTTTGCTCTGACGCTCAGCCCTGGAACGTAAGCGCCTTTTCATTAGTGCAGAAATGATGCTGGGGCTGATTGTTCTCATTTTCTGTTCAAATTAGGCATCTTTGAAGTGTTGTTTCTTGTTTGGGTTCTTTTTAAAAGCCAAATTCTCCAAATCCTTATTACTATCGAGAACCCTGCTACTCACAGGAGTCCCTGCTGGGTGGGTTTTGAACATCTCCAAGGACGGAGACTGTTTGGGCAACCTTTTGGGCTACCCAGCAGGCAAAATGACCACCTAATGACCTTCCTGACCTTGGGCTCCCCAGTTCAAGAAGGACAGGGAACTGCTGGAGAGGGTACAGCAGAGGGCTACAAAGATGCTGAGGGGCCTGGAGCATCTCTCTGCTGAGGAAAGGCTGAGGGACTTGTGTTTTTTTAGTCTGGAGAAGAGAATAAAATACTCTCTATATAAAATACTCTATAAATCCTTCAAGGGTGGGTGTCAGGAGGATGGGGCCAGTCTTTTTTCAGTGGTGCCCAGGGACAGGACAAGAGGAAATGGGCACAAACTTGAACATAAGAAGTTCCATCTAAACATGAGGAGGAACTTCTTCACTTTGAGGGTGGCAGAGCCCTGGAAGAGGCTGCCCAGAGAGGTGGTGGAGTCTCCTCTGGAGATATTCAAACTCCACCTGGACACGTTCCTGTGAACCTGCTCTGGGTGGACGTGCTCTGGCAGGGGGTTGGACTGGATGATCTCCAGAGGTCCATTCCAACCCCAGATCATTCTGTGATTCTGCTAGAGAGGATCAAGGATTGCTAACGCAGGGCTTGTCCTCCATGGCCTTTGCTGGGCTTGTGTGCAGGTGAAGGCTCCCCAGCAGCCGAGAGCAGGGGGAGATGTCCTTACATTCTTCTCTAAATCAGCGTAATGTGATGCTCCGAGGCTTGGAAACAATTCCTTGGTGAAACCAAAGACCACACCAGTAACGGTTTTTTAAGCTCACTCTGTCCCCCTGTATGTTATTTCCAGGTGAGGGAATGGAGTGTGGGACAGAGTAAGCAACTCGCCCAAGGTCATTAGGGTGAAAGGGAGGAATTCCCTTTTCTAATCTCTTTATACCAGACCTCCAGAGGAGAGGTGATGCCCGGTGGTTCTGGCCACAGAGGATGGAGGATACTCCCAGCCCAGGGGATGGTTGATTTGTTTGCATTAGTGTTAGAGCCCAGAAACCTTCAGCACAGCCAGAGCAGCAACAGCAAGAGACTGCCTGTGCCCAGAGAGCCTACGGAATAAATAGGATTTATTTTTGTTTATATTATTTACTTTATTTTTACCTTGCCCATGGCTGGGGGGTTGGAACAAGATGATTTTTAAGGTTCCTTCCAACCCAAACCATTCTATGATTCTATGATTCTATGATTCTATTTATATTAGAATCATAGAATTGTCTAGGTTGGAAGGGACATTTAAGATCATCTTAGATCATATTATTTATATTGATATTATTCATAGTCATATTATTAATCTTTACCTTTATACTATCCATCTTTATTTATATACATTTATTAAGTATTTATTTATATGGAGGATTTTAAAATTTATTTATGCCCAAATAAATTCCCTTGGCAAACCAAGGGAAACAGTGGGAGGACACACGCATTCCTAGTGGTCTCCAAGAGTTAAAGGACTCCCAGGGCAATGTTTGGTTTGAAGCCATCAGTGGCCAGTAGGTTTGGAGGCAATCAAGTCGTGCATGATGGGCCTGTGGTGAACCTCATGAGGTTCAACAAGGCCAAGTGCAGGGTCCTGTACCTGGGTCAGGCCAACCTCTGGTATCAACACAAGCTGGGGGATGGAAGGAAGGAGAGCAGCCCTGCTGAGAAGGACTTGGGAGTGTTGGTTCATGAGATGCTCAACATGAGCTGGCAACGTGCGCTGTCAGCCCAGAAAGCCCCCCACATCCTGAGCTGCATCCCCAGCAGCGTGGCCAGCAGGGCCAGGGAGGGGATTCTGCCCCTCTGCTCCGCTCTGGGGAGACACCCCCCACCCAGTGCTGCCTCCAGCTCTGGGGCCTCAGCACAGGAGAGACATGGACCTGTTGGAGCGGGGCCAGAGGAGGCCACCATGGAGATGCTGGGAGGGCTGGACCCCCTCTGCTGGGAGGACAGGCTGAGAGAGTTGGGGGGTTCAGCCTGGAGAAGAGAAGGCTCCAGGGAGACCTTATAGTGGGCTCAGGGCTGGGGTCGGGGTGCAGCTTCAGGGCATCATTCTCTTGTTTGCTGTGACTGGGTGTGCTTTGCTGGGACCCAGGTTCCAGCACCGAGGTGCTTCTTGCCTCAGTTTCCCTCCCCAAAGCACAAGGTGCCCAAGGAACTTTATAGGAGCAGGCTGCAGCTCCCTTCAACCCCCTCTTCCTGCAGTCCTGCTTCTCATGGTGGCCTGTGGACCCTGAGGGACAAAGTATGGACCAGGGCATCCTTCAGCAAGTAGTTTATGGGGCTGACCTGACTTTTAGATAGGGGTCAGGACCCGACCTGAGGGCTTTTCAGCTCTTGCTGCTGGATGGAACCCTTTCTTGTTTGATGATCTGGTGTCCTATTGGAGGATCTGGTGGCATCATTGAGGGCTTTATCTGTACTGGGCCTTGGGAGGGGATTTTGGCCCCTGAACTCCTGGAAGGGATGGGCAGAGCTCTTCTCTCTGCTGCACTGAAGGATGGAGGGGGCCGGGGTTGACCCTG